GCTGTTTCTCTCCCAGTATCTGACCTTATAACATTTGTTTTAATTAGTTATATAAGCTCATGTTAAAAAAATTTATGGGATCCGAGCGGAAAACAAGCCAATTAATATTGTTAAGATATATGTTTGAAATGGTCTTGTCACATTAATGCGCGGTTTCTTTGGGTTTTATTTATTAGACGGGTGAGCTTATAAAAAATAATAATCTCGATGAAAAAGTCAATAACATTAGTTTTAATTTTAATCTCAATTAACAGACTCTTTAACAATTTGTTGCCAGAAAATTTAAATTGACATTGTCTTACTTGTTTATCCTAAAATCTAATTTATAAACCGTTACGTAAAATGATCTCTTACAAAACTATATCTTTGCATCTGTAAAAAGAGAAAACAGTAAATAAATGTTATAAATTGTTAAAATATACCTGCTTGTTTACTTTTGTACGGCTGCATTACACAACACTCTTTGTTTTGAGGCAAATAACAGTTATTTATAATTAATAATTTGCCGCGTTGTGTCCCACCTAGTTAAGGGGTGCAATTCCTTCGCTCCATATAGAGAGCGTGAAGGTATGCCACCCGATATGAGATTAATGTTTGAGCCGATTTTTGAAGGAATTTATTGTATATAGTACTGATAAATTTGTATGTTGAGATTGAAGGTATTTATTAGCGTGAATTCGTAGTGTTAGAGGGTCGTTGGCGGAATATTGAGTATCCCATCGACCGTCAATTACGTTAGTTGTATAAGGTGTGTAAAGCGTTATGGAGGGATATCGAGTATTCCGTCACCGTAATTGAATGAATGGTACGTAGATAGGAGAGATGTATTTAATAATGAATGTGAATATGAAATGCTGTGGACATCCTCCAGAGACCCCGGTGAACGGATAAGACCGGGATCTGCCCCGGAATGCCAACACCCGGGGTAGGTAATTCTCGAGGCCTGCCGGGGATTTATTGTAAGTTTTAAAAGCTGTAACTGCTGGTGGACTTCGAGAAGTGATAGGCATATTCAGTACTTGTGTTGAGAGAATATGAGCTTATATAAATACAAATCAATAATTAGTAATGATTCATGACAGAGAATGAACGAAGAAGATAAGAAAAAATACCAATTACAAAACTTAATTTACCTCAAGCTGTAATGCATGATACATGTGAGGTTTCTGCCAAGTGACTATAATTTTAATATGTAAAGCTTTTGTGCAAGTAACAAATTTGGTCATATTGGCACCACGTAATTTCACGTTAAACTTGACAAATTGTTTGGGTACAGTGTTCATGACTGTCTGGTGTTTTTCTGAGTTCTCTCAAGTGAAACACCTCGCAAACGTTATTTACTCTTGTGCACATAGCGCATGAATATTTAGTACAGTTGCCGGGCCCGCTTTTTTTCTTTTTTGTCAGGTTCCCAACCGGCTCGGTTTTGAATCGCTGTTATCTTACTTTGAAAACTCTGAAGGAATGTTTCAGTAACTTAAGTAGTTAAGTAAAACTAAACCTTTTCGGACTTTCCAATAAAATCAGCCGCAATAGAAAATAAACTAGATCACCCAGCTTCTTTGAGTAAGTATCCAACTGCTAGCAGCCCTAAATAAAACCAAAATCGACAATAAAACCAATTCTTTAGGATTATCAAGGGATTTTCTGGTTTCCAAGCGTTAAATATTATTATTTAGAAATCGCGAGATGCGGTCTGGTGTGACGTAGGTTTTAAAAAAACATTTTCTTTATCGTGCCAACGTTTCGATCTTTATTGACATCATCTTCAGGGCCTGGGATTTACGAACATTGTTTAAATTTAACAAAAACATGTAGGATGTGGAAAAAAGTGAATATATACAATGCAAATAAATTTTTTTTTTATATTCAATCAAAGTATAAATTCACTTTTTTTCCACATCCTACATGTTTTTGTTAAATTTAAACAATGTTCGTAAATCCCAGCCTGAAGATTATCTCTATATAGATCGAAACAATTAATTAAGGTTTTTAGTTGAGATAAAAAAGTCAATGGCACGAGCGGGATTCGAACCCACGATCTTCGGCTAAATACGCAGCTGCTCTACCACTTTCGCTATCGTGACCTCGATCCACTCGGGCACCAACTTCCCATCTCAACCCCACCTTTTGGAGTTTTCCCTCCCTCGGTAGAGCAGCGGCGTATCTAGTCGAAGATCGTGGGTTCGAATCCCACTCGTGCCATTGACTTTTTTATCTCATCTAAAAACCATAATTAATTGTAATATATTAATTGGTCAAGCGGTCATCACCACGAAATTAGTGAATTTAATAGATCGAAACCTTAGCACGATAAAGAAACTGGTTTTTTAAAACCTACGTCACAGCAGACCGCATCTCACGATCTCCAAATAATCATTAAAACATCTGTTGTCATCACTGCATACATCTGTATGTTTTTAACACTCTTCGAAAGGGGCAACATACAATCCGGTTTTGATTATACCCGCATAGTTGACAAATTAATTTCCTGTTTGGAGAACAAATTTAACTGTAAAATGAAAGGAATGAGAAAAAATTAGCACGTAATTTGCAAACTGTGTCGAGAAAATCATTATCATTATGGAATTTATTATTGAAATTAATACGGTGTTACAAGTACACACAAGTAACAAATTAAAATTACCAAACAAAACCCGAATCCATGTTGAAATGTTCAAGAACTCACACAGACAGACAATGAACATAAATGTACAAATCATTATACGAATTAACATATAAAAACGCCACAATTGAATTATAATCATGATCCGATAATGAGACTGGCTAATTATACATTAACTTCCTTAATTGCTGCTTAATACCCACGGTCAACCCCCCCCATCGGCGGCGCGATTTCGCCGTGGCGTGAAATACCCATGACAAAACGCAAAAACATAGCCGCCCCTGCCGGTTTTCTACCTGAAGCGGCCCCGTTGCCAAATCATCTCCCATCCTAATGGATGGGTTTCACGGTCCAATAAACAAATTGCAAAGACGTTAAAAAGCAGGTGGTGGCTTTGAATGGCTAAAAATGACTTTAAAGGCGGCCGAGGGGAGAAAAAGCGTTTTATTCCTTCACCCCAGAATTTATCCATGCTCCTTCAGGCGGAACAAAAGGTAGAACAGACAGACTAATCGGGATGGTATCACCCTTATTTCGGTTTGAAATTCGTCTCGAAAGTCTTTCAAATTTGAAAAAACATCTCTCTTTTGCATATTTCTTTCAACCCACATAGCACATAGTATTTAGTCTTTTCGCATCACGTATCTATTACTTTTAAATTAAACTGTGATAATCATTCATGGGATATGAGACGTATTAATCTAAAATGCTTTCCGATTCAATATAATACTAGTAATTTCATGTCCGGTTAAAACTGAGGCCATGTTAGCTCCTTTGTATTGTTTGGTAATTTATTACGAAACTGTAATTAACCCACTCTTGTTCTCTGCTATGTACAAATTCAGATAATTAACTCTGAACAAAAACTATTCAGATACGAGAAAATCCTAATTTAGCTGAATATCAGTTAATCGAGTAAAAACTATGATCTTTTACTGATAAAAAATGAATATATTTACTCGTTTATCACACAGACCAACCGAAATCCGTACTTTCGAAATAGTCAAACATAAGGCTTTCTAAGGAAAACAAGTAACCACCGAGTCCCATAACTTATTCCGCGTCAGCGAAGAGCGGGCCAACTCAAGTAATTGCCGTAGAGCGTTATTAAGTGATAAAAACTCTAATAAATCTCCGAGGGAGAGTTCAACTCCCACCTATCGGCCGTAATAAATTACCGTTTTATCTCTTGCGCCTGTCAAATTCGACAGGGCTTAGGTATAAATAACAAGGAGGCACTTAGGCCGGGGGAAAAGTGCTCGCGTGAAGAATAATTTACAGGAACATCGATTCAGTCGCCGGGGTCCAAACGAGACTCGGCCGTAATCTTACCTAACAATATCGTGAATCTAGATGCGATCAGAAGGCTGTCGTCAAAATCAAGATAACATTCACAATTATATAAATAATAGATTTTTCTCTAGTCAAAATTCGAGTCAGCATGTGGGGTTTTAATAACTGTTTTCCCACAAACAACAATATTTGCACAATGATTATGCCGCAAACTCATTTTAAATTATAATTTAATCCGTTAGATTTCGTGGTCCGATTGACCAAATAACTTCTTTCAATTAATTAATCTTTGAATCTTGAAAAATGGAAAATAGAACGAAAAATTTCGAAAGGTGGGTTGAGATGGGAAGTTAGTGTCCGAGTGGATCGAAGTCACGACAGCTCAAATGGAAGAGAAGCGGCGTATTTAGCCGAAGACCGTGGGTTCGAATCCCGCTCGTGACACTGACTTTTTATCTCAACCAATACCTTACATAAACATTATAATTTAATATGTCAAAGGATGGTGTAGCGCAGAGTGCTTTCCCTTTGTTATGTTCTACAGTGTATATAACGTTTGAAAACAAAGCTATTTCTGTCTCTTCTCTTTTTCCGTAGAAATAGGAGAATTATGGCAATATAGCTCAAATTTAAAAAATAATTTTTAGTAATTTCATAAATCTTGATTCATTTCCAACGATAAATCTCACATTTAACAAAAACTCTAATAGTTGTTTAGTGAGAATCATTAATCTCGTAATTCACTAAATAGCAATTATGAAAACCGTCTGATTTATATAATTAATAATTTTGTATGAAAAAACTTACCCCGAATTGGGTGTCCGAACAGTTTTTCTTCTAAACGCGGCCTATCATAATTTGACTTAATCTGTTTTGAACTTCAAGAAAACTCGATGGCTAGTTATGACGCACTTGCCTCGGAAACGCACTGCCCATTTATAACTACTATCCGATTTTTAATCTTTTGGGAGATGGGTTATTAAAATATGAAACATAGTATTTGTTTTCTAAAAACATTAATCCATTTATTAAGCGAAACAAAATAATATAACTAAAAAAAAGAAAAAATAAAGGAAGAGGACACTCTTTTTATCCCATTTTTCAATATTTACAAAACGACAAATAAGGACTAAATTTTTTTAAATTTAATTGTTTGTCAAAATTGGACGAATGAAGAGCACACATAGAGACAGACGCACTAAGGGGTAGTCACTTTTGCACTGATATCACAGGGGGGTGTTTTACGGGGAGAAGATCAGGGGTGAACGGCCGCTCCTATCCTTTGGCCGTACAGGTAAGGCGAATAGTACGGTGCGAGGGTCGGGTTGAAAGCACTGAACGGCGACTGGAGTGATGTCGGCAGGGCTCCAGGTTTGCCGTACGGGTGATATCGAGCTGCGGAGAGCGGGCTGAGCGGAGGGTTGGGGTAACGCAGAGGATTCAGCAGAGAGGTGTCCGCCGTATGGCTCCTGAGGTGTGTGAGCAACTCTTCGGATGATGTGAACCTCTTTCCGCAGTAGGACTCTCCGGAAATCCAGTTACAGACGTACGGCCTGCCTACGTAGGCCAACGGGTGAGGAGGCAATAAGGACGATATAAGGTATTTTTGGTGTTCGCACTGAGTACATCCGCTCGGGCAGGTCCCGCCCATAAGAGCGGAGTGCATTCCCACTTGACAGCCACCACAGTAAGGATCCTTGCAGACGGGAACGAGTGCCTCTCCGCCGCCGGGTGTCTTCACTCTGGCGTAGCTCATGTACGGCCCCGGGTACATCATGTGTCCTGCCAAAGGAGGTCGGAATGCGGGATTTGCTTCCAAACCGGGCGGACAGCAGCCCGGAGGCAGGCCGAGCGGGCCCAAAGGCGGCTTGAACCCGAGGGGCAAGTCTTTCGGGTGCCCCTGCAGCACTTCCAGGCCGGAACGGATTATCGGGCTGGCTCCGCTGTCAGACGACTTGTCTGCGTTCTTATCCGACGAAGGCGATTTTCCGTCTTTCGGCGATGCGGATTTGCGGCTGGGCGTCCTCCTCTTCTCCTCGGGCTCCGACGAAGGCTTGCTGGCGGGCCTCGGCGTCTCGTTCTTTTTCGTCAAGACGTTCGCCTCGTACGGCTTGAACGCCAGGCCGTTTTTGGATGAGGCGGAAAGGTCGTGGGACTTGGGAGGAGTCGCCGAAGAGCGCTCGGTAGATTTTTTCGGCTTGTCCAGAGAAGGCAACAACGGCTTCGTGCTCGGCGAATCGGCGCCTATCTGCGAGCAAGTCTGAGCCAACAACGCCAACGGGCTTTTTTTCGCGTCCAACTAAAACAGAACACAAAATAACATTTTAATTTTTTTTAATCTAAACATGGAAAAACTTTGAAAATTCGAATAGTTATCGGAACAACTAACGGGAATTATCTATATAAGGCTATCCAAATAATGCTTCGATTTATTTGAAAGTTAAAACAACTCGAAATGAAGTTTCATAGGGGTTCTTTGTCCTCGGAAAATTCGTTAAGTATTAACAAGCGAAGAAATTAAAGTATACACGACCAATTTAACCACCAGTTTTTGTCTAAAATTCTTTTTGGCCCAATCAGGCCAGCTTTTTGATAACTTACGGTTGTCGGAAGAGGTGAAAGGTAGTCGGGCTGAAGATACTGGTGTCCGGAGGGCGAAGTCATGATGTCGCTATTCTCCAACACGACCATTTGATTCTCAATCCGGCTTTTGTCACAGCACAAGAAACGTTTAAGTTTATCACTTGGAACAGATGATTTGGAGTATAAAAAGCACAAATACTGTCTCAAGACACTGCCACGATTGGTACGAACAAGTAGAAGGACGGTCTCGATCTGTGGCTCGGTGCGGTAAGGCGTGGAGGGGCTCGTTCCGACCCCCACCCACGGCGGAAGCCCCCACCCCGACTTGACGACAGCCCCCCCCTTCGACGCCGGTTAATCACCGCCCCCGCGCCCCCCGTCCGCACAACACTCACGCCGCCCCCCGCTCACCTCACGGCTCACGGCTCAGACCACCTACTTCAACGGACAAATCTGTTTCGGTTCTTAAATATACTCGGCGCTAGCTCTGCGGGGCTTCGTCCTAAATCTAAATTATATTTATCTCCATTAACATCTCTCGGTATAAAGCCCCACAACACCCCCGAAACATAATTTATGCTCTCGGAATTATAACCGACACCGCCGGCCACTTTGTAAATATAAAAGAACCGAAAACCGTCATTATTTTAAGGGCGACGGGGAGAATTCAATTCAGAATCCACACTGAAAATTATATTACAACATTCAGCAGGAAAAGCATAACAAATTACATTAAAATTCTAAACATCTTATATTTGGTGTAATGCCACTTGTATACCTTACAAAGCCAATATTATCGACGCTTTAACCTCATATGTTTGCATAAATAAAAAGGGAAATAAATATTTTTATTCAGTCTATCAGGATTATTTTGCCAGTCTTTATTGTGAAACAATCCTGTTATCAACTATTCTATTTGCACATAAAATTAGTGGTATGTTGAAGTCGTGAGGAGCGATCAAAAATAAAGAATTTAAAAAAAAGACAAACTTTTTTCATTTTTTTGCCGACGTTTCGACTTTTATTTTGGTCATCTTTAGGGCCTGGGTGAATTACAAAACATATCTTGATTGGAGAAAATACAATACAGATGTAAATATAAAGATTGAACCGAGTATTTCATTCTTTATGTGAGTATGAAACATTTGGTTCAAAATTTATTTTTACTCCAATTTTTTGGTCAATTATGACCACAAAGTAAATATCGTTTTATTTATATCCACATATGTATTGTATTTTTTCCAATTAACATTGTTTTGTAATTCATCCAGGCCCTGAAGATGATCCAAGTAAAGTTCGAAATATTGGCAAAAAAAATGAAAAAGGTGTTTTTCTAAAATACCTCATTCTTGACCGTTCCTAACGACCCAAAAAAATTATGTTTATGTTTATAAATTTTATGTTTAATGGTATATTTTTATGTTATGTTTATTGCAAAATGTACGATAATGCGGAGAATGTTAAAACTTGCGAAATAACAACTTTTCTTTTTAGATTTCTCGCCATCATCAGTGGTCACTGTGCAATGTTTGAAATACACAAACAAACCACAAACGCACCATAAAAGATGGCGTGAAGAGTGGTGTCATATTTGTTTCGTGTGAAATTGTGAAACGTGTACTCTGCTGTTTTTTTCACAACAATTTCAAACAAATCCAAAACACCAGACGAGTAGCACCACATAAATTGGTGGTGTTATATATGAAATACTCGGTTCAGAATGTATATTTACATCTGTATTGTACTTTTTCAATTCAACATGTTTTGTAATTCAGCCAGGCCCTGAAGATGACCAGAATAAAGGTCGAAATATCGACAAAAAATGAAAAAGGTGTTTTTCTAAAATACCTCATTCTTGACCGTTCCTCACGACCCCAACAAATTATTTTTTTAGATATATAGATTTTATGTTTTATGGTATAGTTTTATTTTATGTTTACAGCAAAATGGACGATTATGCAGAGAATGTTAAAATTTGCCAAATAACAACTTTTCTTTGTAGATTTCTCGCCATCATCAGTGGTCACTGTGCAACGTTTGAAATACACAAACAAACCACAAACGCACCATAAAAGATGGCGTGAAGAGTGGTGTATTATTTGTTTCGTTGAAGTTGATCTGGGCCTGAGAATACCTTGATATCTGCATCAAACCACAAGTTTGAGACGAAATTTGGAGCGCCGCGTGGGGTTTTGTGTGCACGTCGTTTTGGCATTCATTGATTGACCCCTGATGAAGGAAAGAAATCAAAATTTTTGTCAGTCCAACCTAGCGACGATTAGGCAGATCAAAATGATCAGTCGAAACCAAATTATGCTGTGAATGAGTAGAAATTTAACTTTTATAAATTTCCTATTAAAACAATAAGATCTGAGGTAAGATAAGATGGTAATTTGGTTGTTTCTTATTATTTTGGTCCGTTTGATCTCGATGTTTTGGTCTGCAGACAAGTTTTTGTGTCTATCGTAATTATTGTTTATTTTATTGGGTTTTACAATGTCTACAACATAATACTACTTGACGTAACATAATTCATACGAAATACCTGTCGGATCAAAATTACAAGCTATAAGGTTATTCATGCGTTTTTGAACAAGTTTTAAGTTCTGGTTCGTGGCTAACAACATGTTTTTTTTTATTTTTGACCCAACACTGAAGGTAGCGTGAAATCGAAACGCCTCTTACAGACCAAGAAGAGCAAGGATGAGCAGACCGACATGATAGAAAACGCCTAATTTTACTAGCTCAGGTTATTCTATTCATAAGTTTTTGAACAAAATTGATATGTTCTTGTACGCGCATAATAACATGCTGTGTTTCTGTGATTTTTCAGTTTGACCCAGCAATGAAGACAAAACACTCCTAGCAACCAAAAGCTGGAAGGGTACACAAGTTAAAATGATCTGAAACAAACAAACTTGATATTATGCACTAAATGAAATAAATGACGGTAAACATAAATAAATGAATTTTATTCATAAGGTTCATAATTGGTCAAGCGGACCACGAAAACTAGTGAAGTTATTCATAAGTGAAATTTAATGGAGCTTCTGATGAATGAGGAAAACTATCGTTTTGACGTTAATTGTAAAAAATTGAAGATTGTACAAACCTGTCTGTATAGACTAAAAACATATGAGAAGTAAGATAAAATCTAATAGTTTTTAAATTTAAATTGACATAACTTCTACTACTGTAAATTGTACTTTTCGGAAAGTGGAGAAATTGTGATTTGGCAGTTTTAATAACAGTGATAGCTATTCATGAATTACTGAGTTAAAAAGAACAATTTAATAACTCAGTATCAAAATTCAGGCCATGGCTGTGTAAATTTTGAAAAGGAACTGTTTCACGCACACTGCCCAGTTTCAGGTGTAACCTCAGTAGCCGCCAGGGAAGGGAATGATATAGGGTCACATTTGTCAAAGCTTTTGTCGGTTCCCAAGGCACCGGAGGTAACTAAAAAGCCCGGTTGACGTGTGTATTATTTACAAGTACCATGCCGGTAGCCGGCCCCTTTTGAAGTCCCAGGGCCATTTCTCACTTGTCGGCACTTGTGAGACGGCCGACTTTATTGTCCACTATCATTGTACACACCGTCTAGGACTAGTTTCCTCCCGCCCGGATGACAGGCCGTGGGTGAACTGATGAATGAATATAGTTTTCGGCGCCTGGGAAATATCCTCGTATATCATTTTTCAGGAAAATATAAAAAAAATAAATAAATAGGGTAGGGTACAGGAAAGGTCGTGGGTGGCAACTGTACCTAGAAATTTACTTATGCAATATTCCGAAATGGTAACTAATCATTCTAGAAATGTGTAAAAATGTTTCAGTTACTGAAAACACAGTGTGGTTTCCATTAGCACAATCAAGCTGACAAAGGTTGGACAAGGAAGAAGCGCCAAACCACTTCCCGTAACCAAATATGCACGCGAAAAAAGTTTATGGTGACTTCACTAGTTTTCGTGGTCCGCTTGACCAATTAATATCTTTCAATTAATTAAGGTTTTTAGTTGAGATAAAAAATTCAGTGTCACGAGCGGGATTCGAACCAAAGATCTTCGGCTAGATACGCCGCTGCTCGGCATGAGCTATCGTGACCTCGATCCAATGTCGTGTAATCTATTTGCTTCTCGGCGACAAATGAAATGGCCACGGATTTTATCTCAACTAAAAACCTTAATTTATTGATAGATATTAATTGGTCAAGCGGACAACGAAAACTAGTGGATTTAATAAGTTGAAATGAAGTATACCTTCACTAAAACCTTCCGTGGCCATTTCATTTGTCACGGAGAAGCAAATAGATTACACGACATTTGAAAAATGGCAAAAAGGAGGGAAAATCCAAAGGTGGGGTTGAGATGGGTAGTTAGTGTCCGAGAGGATTGAGGTCACGATAGCTCAAGTGGTAGAGCAGCGGCGTATCTAGCCGAAGATCGTGGGTTCGAATCGCGCTCGTGACACTGAATTTTGTATCTCAACTAAAAACCTTAATTAATTGATAGTTATTGTGACTGTTTGGTGATGTACTGCTTGTTCAATAAAATTTCCTGAATTATGGTGAAGCTATCACAGCAGAGAAATATTGCCAAGAAATTGACCAAATGTACCGGAAATTGCAACGACTTAGTCCAGCCGATTGGTAAAACGTAATTGGCCGATTCTTGTCACGAAAACGCCAGGCCACATGTCGCAATGTCAACCCTGCAGAAACTTAATGACCAAGTACTCTTTTTATGTAAAGTATTCGTTGTAATGGAAAAGTTAGCGGGATTAGAACCCACGACCTTTGGCTCAATACGCCGCTGCAAGAACCACTTGAGCTATGGTGACACGATAAAAAGATAAAGTTTATCTGATTGAAGGGTTTAGAGCAGCGGCGTATTGGGCCGAAGGTCGTGGGTTCGAATCCCGTTCGTGACACTAACATTTTCATTACAACCAATACCTTACATGAAAAGATTAATTAATTGAAAGAAGTTATTTGGTCAATCAGACAACGAAATATAATGGATTTAAGGAATAAGTATGAAATCTTACCGCACCCTCCATTTTCATCCGACCCCTCGCCACCAGTCTTCCACTTTTTTAGGCATTTTGATCAATAAAAATTTTAGAGAATGGGGTGAAACCGAAAACGCCTTCCAGGATTTCATTGTGAGTCGAAATAAATAAAGATTTTTATGTCAGCGAAATAAAGCTCTTATTACACGTTGGCAAAGACAGATTGCGATGGAAAATATTGCGTATAAATTTTCTTTAAAAATAAATTTTGCGT